GTCTATTTTGTTACACCTTCTTTGAGCAGAGAACAGGCTTCCTATAGCTTTTTCTTTTAAAGCGATGGATAAATCATAAATGCTACTTAAAAGAAAGTCATAACCTGTTACTTCTCCATCCCTTAATGTGGACCTTTGGATTAAAAATTACAAATATAAATCCAGTCACAACAGGGACCAACATCTTTCTTACCAAGGAGGAGGACAATTGGCAAACACAGACATTTTTCTGTCTAATTTATGAAAAATCAGTCTATATTTTGTATCATGTGAATCGGCACAGACATCTGTGCTGTGATAGAGAACAGCAATCCAAAGTCTGATTGCAAACAGAGAGACACATATGCAGCCCAAAAGGGAAACAGAATTTTCGTCACAACATATTACTTTTAGGTACCTTTGTCTTGTGGTTATAGCTCTGTTCAGTTGGTGGGTTACCAATGGAATGACCTAGAGCAACATTAAATCTGCAAGCTTTTGTTCCAAACCTGTCTGTTTTTAATATTGTCTTTCAAGATGCCAGTGCCATAGGATAATGGGTAGGATTTGCTAACCTCCTTGAACAGTAGCTCTATCTTTTTAGTTCTGGAAAAAAATTCTTATCTTCACAAACATAATATTTCATTATAGTGAATTTAGGAACCATCCTGTGCAACAAGGAGTTCTCAATTTCCATTAGGTCAATGGGAGTTCAAAACAATCCACACTTTTACAAGAGGCTTGAAGATGTGGCAATAAATGGGATTTAACTACGTGCTTACAGCTAAGCATGTGTTTAAGTGCTTTTTCTGAATCGGGGCTCTAAAAAGGCAACTAAGCTGTGCAAGGGCTCTTACACATCAGCTCATTCTCAAAATATGCCAACTCAATCTCAGTCTGATGTACTCCAGCATTTCTTAACAATGCTGCTCCAAAGGATTCACAAGGACACCTCCCCTGCAAGGTCAAGTGAGCCATCTCCATACTGTATACCTGGTCTCCACCTGCCCAGGAAATGAAATAATCCTGTGGTCATTCCTCAACTCAGTCTCTCCACACTTAACACTGAGCACTGCCTTCCCTTTCTAGATCATTCGGTCTTAAATGGGCACTGACAGACCAGAGGGCATTCTGTCTTTAAAACCATCCTGAGGAACAACAATTTATTAGTTTGTGCACAATCTACAGGGCTGAGCTGACTTTAAATGCTATTTTAAATTGTGTTATTTAACAACCCCAGTTTGAATAAAAGGGATTTAAGTAGCTGTGATCTCGGGGGGGGGGGGGGAGACTATACCTTTTTGGGCTTTAACTGTCTCACTCGTCACATTTTTTAGCCCATGCGCTGTTTCCAGTCTACTTTATATTAACCAAACAGCAAAGTGTCAGATGAGCCTCAGCTCTTAAGAGCTAATTGTCCAAATGTTAACCTGCAGACCAGGAGAGATCAAGGTACTCTCTTTTTAGGGAGAACGGTTACTTTTCCATACAAGCCAAAGCCAAAATCTGGTAGTATAATAATCCCTTCCACAGCGGCTGCTGCTGTTGTCTTGCGTTTCAAGATGGGCCTGAACCAAACCTGGAACCTCTCTGAAATTTGGGGTGTTTGAAATTCAGTCTAGGATCCTGCCTGTATTTTGTAGCTTGAGACTATCTTTACTTCCTTCACGTAACTCTCCCTTTACTCCCAATTCCCATGCCCGAAAGCCTTAGTTCACCACTGAGGGGGCACCACACATAACAGGAAGTAGATCTTTCAGACAGTACATTCAAACGCAGCATTACTCTGAGGTAGATTAAACTGCACTTACATCTATTTCAGAAGAAAGATGTTCTGACAAAAGTAACCATGGTGTGCAACTTGAAGAAGCAAATCAAAACTAAAAAAAGATGTGACTATAGAACAGCAGAAAAAAGTTTAGACTAATCCTTGGCCATCTTAACTGGGGCTCTAAAAAAAAAAAAATTTTTTTAATTAAAGTGAATTCCCTACTTTGCAAACTGCAAGCACCTAACTTGGAAAGTCCTTTCAGTGTCTATTCTTCCTCGTGCTCTTTATAGTACAGAAAGAATACATGAACTTCTGATCTTTAGAAAATGTATGTTCCTTATTCCTGGCCTGAAAATGCATCAAAAGATAGACAGAGGGGATGCTGGGAAACTGTCTGAAAATTACCTTTCTCCCTAAAGCCAATTTCAAATGTCAGATTTTTTTAGGCTGCTGATTGTACCATGACTCTTAAACAACAACAAAGCATGGTGTTGTTTCTTTACATTTTCCCAATGTTATTGAAGTAGGTGCTTTCGAGAGCAAAACATAACAGAGTTCTCCCTCAGAGTATGTGAGCTGAGCAATGAGCATCCAAGCAATAGATAATCATCCCCAGACAAAAGGGGAGTAAGAAAAGCTGAAAATAATGATGAGGATTTTAAATATCTAGTCCCTCTGCTCTTATGTAAACTCTTCCAGTTCTAGCTGAACTTTTGCTCTATCGTAGTCTGAAGTGTCTCATCACCTATTCCACTCCAGCCTGTTGGGCCTCAATTATCCGAAAAACATTCTTAATAAATTCAGAAAGACTGCCTTAAAACAATGCCAATGGCATAACTTGCAGCCCTGTCCTCAGTTCAAACCCTTATGCTACCATGAATATTGTAGGACACAGGAAGCCTTAGGCGGATCTTTTCCCCCCACTCTCATTTACAATCAAGTCTCCTGGGTACTGAACAAAGCCAAAAATGATAAAACTTCCAGCCACCAGAAGAGTTATTTATTGTAGTAGTAGTAAAGCTTTAGGCTCTGGGTAACATTTCCCCTGCGCTCAGGTTCTGCTCTGTGCAGAAATATGAAATGAAAGACGGGACCGTGATGCTCCAAACAAAACTGGTAGCAAAAAATGTACTGAAAATATCTAGATTAAAAATTATCTTTACAAACGTGACCATTCACCCTTGTGTTTATAATTATCTGTTTAAGTTTACAGTGATTTTAAATTGTCATATTCGCATGGTCATGTGCATCCATATGTGTAAATAAGCTCAATTTATTCTGCTGTACAAACAGTAAAAAAAACCTCTGTATAAATTCACTCGTTTGTTGCCATCAATCCATCTAACAGGTGTGTTTCTTTAGCAGATCAGCTGTCTACGACATTTTATCTTCACAAGAGAACAGATATTTATTACATAATGGGTTCCAATAATAGTGCACACTATCAGTTCCAATAATAGTGCACACTGCAATAAATGTGAAAATATATAGTTTCAACCAATCTTTCTTCACACATCATCTCTTTCAGTGGGCTCCAGTATTTCCTAAAATCAACAGCATTTCTGCTTTGATCATTAACATTTTAGAAATGGGACCTCACAGAAATCAAAGAGCATTCTCAACTCTTTAATGCTCAACATCTAAAATTCCTCCTTCAGTTTCAACAGGAGTTGGCATTATTTTTCACTGTATAGAAATGTTTTTTTCTGCTGTGTTGTGGAAAATTGACCACACGGTTGATTTTGGATCAAACAGCCTGAGGCTCCTTTATTGATCAATCAAACATGCATGCATGGGGGAGTCAGCCAAGACAGCCGAACCCCCCCGACAGATAAAATACGGGAGCTTATATAGGATAAAACCACAATTAGTAATACATACTTTCTTATTAACATTATTGCCATATTTGGAATACAATATCCATAAAAGGGAATATAGCATAGCAAGCTTTCCTGTTATTCTTAGTTTGCCCTTTGCGGTTTCTTGCTCTGTCGCCTGACATCTATTAATCATAGTCTGTTACAAAGGTTAATTCTTCTTTTATAATTTCTACAGTTAGTTCTGCCTTTATGATTTCTGTCTACCCTTCTCCTTTTATCCCCCCCCCCCTTTTCTCCTTCCTCCAGGCCACACATACAATTCACCTGACCATACATACAGTTCACTTGACCAAAGTTTAGGCCTTAGTCCATTTTTCCTCCACAGCTGTTAAACAGCTGTTGTGCATCACCCCAGATGTGGCTACATTTCAGTGGCAGGCGAATTAATTCCTGCTATATGATCTGTAGAGCATTTTTAAATGAATCAACAGAATCAACATATAAAGTGCTATGTAAATCATCATGATAACACTTTTCCTGTATATAGCCCCTTTCATCAGAGGATTTCAAAGTGCTTTCAAAAAGTGGGTAGTATAAGTCACTTTTTACATATGAGAACCAAACATGTATATAACCATGAGGGCCTGTGTTTCCTCTTGTTATTCTCAGGGCTGGCTCCAGGCACCAGCTTAAGAAGCAGGTGCTTGGGGTGGCCAAGGGAGAGGGGCAGCACGTGCGGCAATTCGGGGGCGGCAGGTCCCTCACTCCGTCTAGGAGCGAAGGACCTGCCGCCAAACTGCCGCCACCACCGATCGCAGCTTTTTTTTTTTTTTCCCCCCAATTGCCGCCGCCGGTCGCGATTGCGATCATGGCTTCTTTTTTGCTTGGGGCGGCAGAAATGCTGGAGCCGGCCCTGGTTATTCTGAACCTCATTTTTAATTCCTTGTCCTCCAAGATGTCTTTCTGCCCTGTCATTAACATACATGTGTGCACCAGCTTACCTTTCATCAGGAAGCCAGTGTAAATAATTCATTCCAAGGCTATTATTGGGGGTGTGCTGATTAGATTGATCTATGCAGGTTATGTATTTAGTCCCCTCTTCCAACTACCACAATTATACATCCAGCCCAACCCTGGAGAACTCCAGATCAGTCTTGAGTTCTTACCCGAGATCTCCACTCAAGCAGCACCTTCACCACTTCTGCACATGGCAATTGGAAATCAAAGGCCTGAACCTAACAATGGCCCGTTTTCATTTAATGTGACCTCCAGTTGGGTTTTATTGTCATTCAACCCTAGCAAAACAATTTCAAATCAATTGCATAGTTCCACCTGACTCTTGATTGTCTCTACAACCCATTTTTTGGCATTTTAATTCCATTCTGTTGTTCATTGTTTAGCATCCTCATTCTCTTGAAGATCAAACCTACCTGGTGCTGAAAAGGGAGACGCGTTTTCATGTTCATTCTCCTCCTCTTGATTTTCCACAATGATGTTCCCATTTTCAATATTTTCATGTTTCCCATTTTGAAGCGTTTTGCTCGTGCCATTGGCAGAGTGGATCAGTCGCTGACGCTGCACAGGAACACAGACCAAAAAACCAAATTAATCTTTGAAAAACTCTTAACTTTGCTAATCTTGTTCGCCTGGTCAGTTCTGTTCTTTCAAACCCTACCACCTTGGAGGCCCGGATCAAATTCTCAAATGAATCCTATTTTAGCACAGAGTAATGAACATGGCTCATTTGGAAGCATTTCTCACCTATGTCTTCAGGCCTCAAGCCAGGAGTTGGGCTCATACCCAGTGGTGATGCTGCAGTGCTGTAGTCCCGGGACTGCTGCACTATCAGAGGTGCTGTCCTTCAGATGAAACATTAACTGAGGTCACTTCTGCCCCGCTCCAATTCCTTCCCCACCCAGTCCCCCCAGGTAGAATTTAAAGATGCCCCCAAGTAGAATTTAAAGATCCTGTGACACTTTTCAAAAAGGGTGAGGATTAGCCCTGCAGCATCCCTGGTCTGATTAAACATGAGGGTTGTCCATTGCTTTTGTGGCGCACATGTTGCTATGCTCACTGCACTACAGTAGCTACAATGGTTGCTATTCCAAATAAATATTCACCACATAATGAGAGCTGGGACACTGCACTAATTTCATACATTTCAGAAAGGCATGAGCTGTGCTATCTTAGGTGGAATGATGCAATAACTATTGGCAAGTGCTGTCTTTTTTAATGGCAGCTGTTCCAGCTCACTTGAAAGTGCTTTACAATACCTTGAACATGAAAGGTGCTGCCAGCATCTGAAACAATTCTAAGCCTAATGTAACTGAAAAGGGAATTGAAAGTAGAGAGAACTCAAATCCACAATACGTTGCCAAACTTTGGTGGTTTGCATACAGTGGAACCCACATCCAAACCACTTCTGGTTTGGGGTTTAGTTTTGCAAACTAAAAATGCCAGCTTTCTGGCCATTTCACTACTCAAAAATACTTTCTTATGGATCAGCTAATTGGCTGGAAAGCAACCCAGTTGCTGCTAAGTGGTTTAGCTGAACTTCTCCCACTCCTTGTACTGCACCACAGAGCTCATTTTCTAAAAACATATTTGTGTATGGTTGTTAGTTGGATTCCCCCACCCACCCAAACATGCGGAATTTCTGCTAAACTGCCATGGACTGTTCACAGTGTGCTATAGTCCTGGGAGCTGTGTTATCTCCTCTATGTTATTGGAACTTGCAAGAACCTATTTTTCCTATACTTGTAAATCCCAAAATAAAAAGCCCTTTGCTTGGACTTCATGTTACTCAGAAACAAAAGATGAAATCCTAGCTCCACTGAAGTCAATGGGGTTTTGCCATGGACTTCATTTAAGCTCAGGACCTTGTTGTTTGACCATTCTCAGGACTTTTGTTGCAGGGTTATGTGAAAGACAGGCTCTCGTGGTGACAACATGTTCACTGAGGGCTAATCTGAGCCTGTCTTAAGAAAACGTCCCTTGTGAAAAATTTGATCTGCTTTCCCCTTTGTTATATATCACTCAGGACTATAAAGGTTAAACACATTAGGAAAATGTGATGTGATTTGAAGCTCTGTCCAACTATTAAAACCCTATGGTTGATTTATGTTATCTTCCCTCAGTTCACTACTCTTATAAGTGCTCAAATGCAATTCCAATGGCTAAACGAAAAAATCTATCTTCTTCTAGCAAGAGAAGCTTCTTAATCTTTACTCCTCTTGTACCTTCAAGGGCCCCCCTTCCATAGTAACCTACCCTTCAGGGAAAAGGGCTTAGTATGATGCCTATCATCCTGTCCTAGGCACCAATCAGTATAGTCACTAGAAAGTGACTTAAGTCTCCGCTGCCCTAGGAGCTGAGTTGGAGAGTCAACCTGTGATTCCAACACCAAAAGCATCTCTATAAAAGAACACTGAGTGGGAATGTGGTCCTTTGGCAAACCCCCTTCAAAGCACTCATTTGTTATTCTCTTAGTGAACTTACCTCGTTAATAATGAGCCTGCTTGCCATCCGCAGTCTGGTTCTGGGTCCAAATTTATTTGTAATCATTATTCGTAAGCCAGCTTCAGGGAAGCGGAATTTCGGGGGACTGGAGCAGATGATCTCATCCACCATCACCACTGGGTTTTTGCCATATTGCTGCTTTCCCTTCACTAGTGATCACAATGCCGAGAGTTAGTTGGGAAATTCATTTCACCAGGCTTCCCTTTGCCGAGAGTTGCCCCATTGTGACTCATGCAAGGGATCACATTTACCTGAGTTCTTGAATTTGCTAGCAACAATCCCACAGTGTTTCTTGAGCCTCACAAATTTGATCATCATTGGCTCTCCCTCTCTACCTGATTCAGATCATGTGTTGAAGGGGGTTTTCACTATCTTGAGTGAAATAGGTTGGTATGGTTCTCATCTAGCCATTCATACTGGGACACCATTTTTCTTTGTTTACAGACCATCACCATTCATCATGAGTTAGCAAGCTTTGCACAGACCACGCACAATTGAGAGAGCATATACAGCTCTTTGAAAACTGTAATGCTATCCAGTTTGCTTAAGGTGCTTAGCAGCTGTGCAGCCTGCTGCCTCTTCTAGAGCCCTGCCAGGGTCCCTTAGTGTTGGGTTCCCAGTCCCTGCAGAACTTCACTTTAATTGAATAGAATATTAACAATATCTCTAACAATATGGGATTTCAAACTATCCAAATTTAACACAATTACTTCTGGATAATTGTTACAATTGATCCTTTAACACAAAGGAACTTTAAAATTATACAAAGGTAAGAGTTGTGGTACGGTATTACAATAATAAAATGCATTAAATTATACTAGGAATCAATACAAGTGTAATCAAAGGCTTCTTAAACTTCACAAATCCATGCCAGTATTTCCATAAATGCTACAAACTACACATAGCAAGCACAGCAAGGCTCAGCAGACAGGAGACATACCCATGTGCAGTTAGAAAACAGGGCAAGAAGTATGCATGTGATTGAAATAAAAAATTATCCCCTGAGTCGGGGGGGGGGGGGGGGGAAAAAACAACATTCTTTTCTGCTTGGGTTATTGCCCTTTTTTTTTTTTTTTTGGACAGCAGGTTACTTACATTAAGAGGAGCGGAATTTAGGAGGCAAAAGTGAAAGACAATCATTAGTGCATAGTTTCAGTCAGGAAGCAAAGGAAATCTGGGAAAACATTCAACTCAAATGAAGGAATTAGAATTGATCTGTCATATAAATGCATAGAAAGCTACATAGTTACTGAGCCTACATCTGTTATTCACTCCAGTGATTAAATATTTTTGTTTTTTTAGGATGAGGTCAGTTTCAATATCCATGTGCAAACTACATCATCTACTGAAGCTTTGCAGCTTGTAGCATCTTCTAACACATATGTTTTGGGATCTGAGAACAGATCCTCCCATTAACATCCACCCCCAAAAAACACCTGGATGAGATTGTAAATCACCAATACACCCTTTTACCGTCCTGTCCTTGAGCCTCTTGGGACTGGGGGAGGCAGAACTTTACAAGACACTGTTTTGTGTTTCATTAAAATGAGGCTTTCGGTGAGGGTATGGTGCTCACATGAGGCACATAAAGATATCTTAAAGTTTCAAAAGAAAACATGTTCTATCCAGAGGATCAGTTAAGTAGCTTTGGCCTTGAAGTTTAATCTACAATGAAGGATGAAAATAGGAATAATTTTGTATTGGGTGAAGGTAAAGCAGCGATTATCCTCCCACTCCCAATATCTTCAGCCAAATTTAATGGGATATTGCAGTAGATGCAAAATAAGGAGCAGGGCTCTTCTGAAGGCTCTCTAGGAAGTGATTGCACTGAGGCTATTTTTCCTGTGAAGCAGTGTATAGCCAAGATAGCCTGAACACTCACAGTTGTGATCTGACTCTCATTTAAAGGAGACTCAACCATAGCAGCCTAACATTTGCTTTAGTCGAGGAAAAAAAATGTTTGACAACAATCCTGGTAAAGAAGAAAGCCCTGACACTTCGATTTAATGCAGCCTTGCTAGACTAGCAACTCTCAAGTGAGTTTCTCCAGTGAAATCTCCAAAGCACTCCTTGATCACGCAACTTGTCAGTGAAAACAACACGGAAGTACTGCAGTCACAATGGAACTAATTCTAGGAGCACTAATGAGATGCTCAGGTCAGAATAGGGTGACTTTATTTTCCCAAAGGGAAAATGGGACACCGCTCTGGGCCAGCCCAAGGCCCCCATCCCCGTCCGCCCATGGGGCTGGCCCGAAGGCCCCTACTGCCTGCCTGCATGGGGCTGGCCTTGCCCAAGCCGCTCTCCCGATCCCTCCCTCCCTTCTGCTCAGGGCTGGCGTTGCTGCTCTTCCACCTCCACCCGCATGTTCCTCCATGCCCCATTAGGAATTGCGACACACTTTTTTTGGCAAAACTGGGCATTTGTCCAGTTTTCTCTTGCCAGCTGATGATCAGTTGGCAAGAGAAAACGGGACAAATGCCCAGTTTTGCCAAAAAAGTCGGGATGGCCGGGACAAGGCTTAAAAAAAGGGATTGTCCCAGCCAAAATGAGACGTATGGTCACCCTAAGTCAGAAGGACCTTTGATGAATTACAGGGTAAAAACCTCACCATTGAGGTACAGTGCACAGATCATGGGTGTATGAATTACTGCAGCCCCAAGGCTAACACAGCACATTTATTCTGCCTGTTTTTCTCTTCAATCTGATTCCATCTGTTTCTGGAGACACATGGCCCAGCTCCATATGGTCCAGATGGGTCCCATTTCACAAATGGCATAAGTGGTTTTTACAAAAAAAGGAAAAGCATTTTCTGCAACTCCTTTGTACATCCTGCAAGGGGAATATCCTCCAGCCATAGTATTTTCTTTTCAGAAATAGGCAAACTTTCTGCTCATCACTCAGGGTCTGATGCAAAGTCTACTAGAGTCAGCGGAAAGCCACTCATTGACTTCAACAGGCTTTGGATCAAGCCCTGTGGCATCTAACCTGTGTTCAGAACAGACTCACACAACACACTCTTAGCAAGAGTTTTCTGTTACCAGGGAGGAATCAAACCCATGCCATCTGAGGGGAGCATGGGTCAATATATATATATATATATATATATATATATATAAAAAAAGCCCAGAGCACTGAGCCATTGTGCCTGTACTTTTAAAATGGGAGCATTATTAACAGGAGTACAAATCTTTTGCCTTCACTTCTGTGTATAGAACTCGTCCTTGAAATTGAATTTTTCTCAGGGTGAAAAGCTCTCTGTATGAAAATCCAGTAATGGAACCTTTTATGTTTCACCAGTGGAAGCTCTTGAAAGTAATAAAACGTATGAGCATCAAAGGCAGCTGTACAGTATGTGAACCTCCCTTTTATCTGCACCTACAGTAATAGAATTCCCATCACCAGTATGAAGAAAGTACCTAACTGAGAGCAGCTGTTCTTTGTTAGAAAATAATCAGACTTGGTATGTACGGGCAGGAGCAGATTAAGGTCAGATCCAGCCCATTGAATCCTGGGGTGGTATAGCAGTGGATTCTGAAACTTGCTAGCCACAAGTAGGAGGCAAGGCAGCAGGCCAGCTGATGGCAGCCTCCCCACGCCCACTCCCACACACACACCTGAAGACTGCTGGCAGTACCTGAGGAAGATGGAGTTCAACTTTGGAGGAAGCTGGCCAAGAACAGGCTAAGGCAGAGGCAATGCATGGTCATGGCACGTTCTTGCCCAAGAGGAATGAGGTGCAGCAGGCAGCCATGTGACTGTCTTTAGGAGAAGGATCTTGTTGCCTGATGCACAAAGTTGTGAGGCAACCTGGATGAAGCACCTCTCCCACTACCCACCACAGTTCCTTCTCTGTCCCCTCATCTTTATCCCACTCATGTTTTCTCTTCCTCTCTCACCCTAGGCAGGTCCCCTTACTTCCCTTTGTCCACTGTCCCCATGGTAATGCCCATTCCCACACTACCCCACCTCTGATTTCTAGTGGTGGTTTGGTCCCTCCCATGTGGTCTCACATTGCGGTAAGAGGGGGAGACTGCGGCTGGGGATGAGGAAGGGGAGGAACATCAGATATGGGGAGGAGATTGGCCTCAGATTTCAAGACAGCAGAAAAGTTAACAGAGAAGAAATCTGTTGTGGGGAAAGTTTGAAGGGAATGAAATTTGGGTGGATCTAGGCTATTTTTAGCCTCCTTATGTAATGCCTCTGAGAAACTCAAAGCACTTTACAGACATGAATTAGTCTTCACAACATGCCCATGAGGCAGATAGGGGTAAGTAACTATTCAATATTATTAGCCCAAATTTACACAGTGGCTAGAGAAATTGAAGCTTAAAGAACATATATGACTTGGGTAAAGTCACACAGCAAGATGGCATCTATGCCAGAAACAGAACTCAGGTGTTTCAACTCCTAGGCCTGCATTCTAACCATCTCCCTGGTAGAGCAGACAAACCTCAACGTCCCTTGAAAGGACTCTGACCAATTAAGTGATATGCAGCAATGCCAGCTTTTTGTCATATAGGAAGATTATTCTCTAATCCCGAGGAAGATTATTCTCTAATCCCGAGGAAGATTAATCTCTAATCCTGAGTAAATCTCCCATGCATCCAAGAGAGAATGGATCGTTCACTATGCAATAGCCCTTCTGTTACCTGAAGATCCAACATAAAGAAGGATCATAATACTTGCTACAAAGTGATTTTCTCTTAATCATGCCATGGTTTCATATAAGAAATGGATTAATTTATTTGATTATTAATATTTATACTACAATAGTGCCTATGACCCCAACTGAGACCGGGGCCCCATTATGTTAGGCACAGTACAGTATTGTAAAAGACAATGCCTACTCTGGACAGCTCCTAATCTAAATACACGAGGTAGAAAAGGGGAGGGGGCATATTCATACTGTAAGTCTGCGGTGAGGTGGATTGACCCAAAGTGCACTGGGCAAACAAAGCCTTAGCCCACCTCTCTTATACCACTAGCCGCCCTTTCCAAATGCTGCCCACATTTCAAGGAGATGCAGCTTCCCAGATACTTGAAGTTGCTTGCAAATAATGAAGCAGCAAGACCTGACTAGCCAGGAAGGGCTCAAGGAGTGAGATGGGCTGAGCCAGGCAGCAAGGACTTGGTTCTGCAGACAGGAGGGGATATAAACAGCAGACAGAAGGAAATGCAGAGCTGAAAGATTCAAGAAGAACAAACGTGCTGACTCTCTCATGCTGTAGTGGCAGCAGGAAACCATCTTCCCCATGTGGCTGCCAAAAACACTTCCCCCCCCCGCTACTTTCCACATCTGTTTAGGAACAGACCTTGCCGTCCTAGTATTCAAACTCAACCTCACATTAGGATGGTTCCCTTTGCCACCCTGGCCATCGCACCCCAGTGCAAGTTTCACCTACTGCCTGGAACTTAATTCTTACACATCTTAAAGTGAAAATTACCTTCTGCATTCACAGCAAAGAAAATATTTCATTTATGGTTTTGTAACTCATTCACCTATTGCTGAACCAGAGAGTAGAAGACAGCAATGCTACAGGTGTACAAAGTAGCATGTTTCCATCACCTCTAGAAGGAATTATGATTCTCAAAGGCTTGGCTGCACTGAATTTGTCAACTTAGCCTAATAAATATGGCATTGTCCTTCTTGCTTAAGGTTGAATATTATCACTGTTTTGTTCACCATTGGAAAAAAACCCACCCACAATGTATGTCAACTCTTTGTCCAACTCCTGTCTGCTCAGCCTTACCTTTCCATAGCAATGGCATGGATGGGTCATCATAGCTTATGTCATAACATTCATTACCATCTTCCAGCTCATTGCTGACTGTGTTGCCATTCCCAACGTTCATGCTTTTGATGGTAAACAACTTTTGCATCTTCACATTGTACCTGAAAGTGCAAAAAGATGGGTCTGAGAATGCTGGATTGTTGGAATACTTCTCCAAACTCCCAGGCTGATGCAGTGTAACCCAGCCCACAAGGATTATTTTGTGACAACCTACATTATGCTAGGAAAAGCCAGAGAGTATCAAACTCAGTACTGCAGGAATGACTAAGCTTTGCCCACCCGAAGGTCATTTTGGCAACCTGACAGAAGAACAAGGACTGCACCTAGCTTGCTGGCTTCAGAAAGCAGTTTTAATTCAGAAATACATTCCACAGAGAACATTTAGCTCAAGGTGAAGCACTGCATGCTGGATGTGAAGCCTCAGAAGTCTTCATCTCTATATCAAAGAGCATGGCTGCCGCAGCATACAGAATAGCATTTGGCCCCCAGGACAAGCTTTGGACATGCTCAATCCACATCAAGGGATCTTGAAGCACATCCTCTGTATACTGAGAGGTTTCAGTATATACAAGGGGCTCTTCTGTCCCCTAAGAATTTAGTTTGTTCCACCTCCTGGGACATGAACTTTATAGGGTTTCTAAAATGTACTGTAAATATACAAGCAATTACATTTAAATGAATGCCATTGAAATCTACGTCAGACACAGATGCCACATTGAATATACCCCTTCATCTTAATAAGGGTTTCGCATTAACCTCTTCACGTTCTGCAGGCTATAACAGAACCATTACACAGCAACTATTTTTATGACATCAGTCCTGAGCTGCTCTTCTCCTTCCTTACAGGATTACCTCCTTATCTCTGAACTCTTATGAGTAGCTTTGTGATTTAAATGCCACCATTGAAGAAGTCATTTAAAATATTTATTTCACATTATAATGCATGTTATCACCCTTTTGACAGAACTGAGAGGGAAGAATTTCTGTTGCAGTGAAAACTGCCAAGCAATGAGGACTTTATTTCCCGGGGAAAGAGGAAAATAAAGCCATAATCAGGTTCTGCATTGCCAATGAGTTGCTCTAATGCAGATGCAATGTCTTTGGGGGTTGGACTTGTGGGCTAGGGGTCTGTCTACACTGCAGTTGGGAAGTGTGACTGTAGCATGTGTAGACATACCTGAGTTAGCTTTAATCTAGCTAGCGTAACAGTAAAGACAATGAGGCAGCTGCTCGACTATCTGGGGTCCCAGGTGGGCAGGACTAGCCTGTACTGCCACGACTTCACTGCTATTGTTACTTGAGCTAGCTATGATCTAGCTAGATCAAAGCTAGCTTGGGTATGTCTACATGTGCTCCAATCACACCTCCTGATGGGAGTGTAAATATACCCAAAGACATACTCACTATGCAATGGCCTTTTCACCAATGCTGTGCACCAGCATACAAGAGCTCAAGGTGTGATTCTCAGGAGGGTTCTCTCGCCCTGTGGACTGACAGGGACAGCACTGTGGGGACAGCTGGCTAAGCCCCACCATGAGAAAGAATCCACTCTATACTGACCCTTCTGGTTGACCTAGTAGTGATGCTGATGGGCTCAGGAAGGCCCTAGTGTTGAAGGGGAAGTTGAGGTCACACAAGAGATGGTTTTGGTGGGCTCAAGGTAGGAGTAAATGGGAGGGCGAGAAACAAAAAGTGGGTACCGACTTCTCCATCTCTTCAACTAAGCAGACTATATCTCGTCTCCTCCCAGGGGAGGGATGATTCATAGACCCTGAGGAGGAGTGAGGGTGAAAGATAAGGATAAGGGCATCAATACATGACAGGTCTGGCAGGGAATGTTCTTGTGGTGAATCCATGCTCAGCTGGCTGCCTGGAGGCTCCTTCACATGGTCAGTCCACAGAGGTTACAAAAACCAGGACAAACTGCTGGTGTTTGTAAAACTAACGGATGCTTAGACAGGGCTCTAAAACAGGAAAGTTTCCAATTTGCAAGGACCCACAGTTACTGGTGGTGGTAAGACTGGGAGAGCAAGAGCAGCCCTCCAGAAAAAAGCATCTAAAAATACATGTGTGTTCTGTTTTACTCATAACCTCCATGCTACTTTACAGTCATGGAGCTAGAGAATCCATTTTTTGACCTTTCACCTCAGACACCTCTTAGACCTGCTGTGCCCCATTATACAACAAAAAATAAACATCCAAAGATTTGCTGCTATCTGCAGTACATACTCCAAGAGTGTGTTGATCTAGCACAAAAGTGGGGGAGGTAAGACAGGGAAATGAGATTGTCGGAATTCTCCTCAGCTGGAGATCAGAGCATGATGCAATTCCAGAGAAACAATCGCCAAATTACAATTAAAGAGCACAGAGAGGGGAGAAGCACTTACTTCATGATAAGTATGTAGAAGAAATACATAACGATGAGTATAAGGCTCTCCCACCTCGAAGAGAGAAAAGGAAAGGAAAGGAATTAGTAGGGTCATGCATGCTGCTGTAATCTTATGGTATTTTCAGTAGGAATGTGCCACGGGTAAGCAGTATGGGAAGTGTTCTCTGCCTTTGTGTGCACTGAATTCCCAGTGGTAACATTAGAGGGAGTTTCAAGGGCCCAGAAGAAGCAAAACTCCTTTGGGCTTTGAACAACACACATATTATGGATATTTCACTTCAACATTTTAGAACTGTGCTAGAGCTATGGAAGACAGAGCTGCACCATGCCAGAAGCAGTGACCAGAGCCATTCTGCCAGCAGAACTTATCATGGACTCTGGAGTGGCTCTTATGCCTTCTTTCAGGAGATGCAGCTTGTTCTCCCACAGATCCAGGGTTGGCTTGTCAGCTGGGGTGGGGAGGGGAGGGGGAGAGGGGAGTGAAAGAGGGGAGGGCCTATGGTATGGGGCACCACTGGAAGTGCTAATACTTCTCTATAGTTTCATCTCAAAGAGCACTGCAATGGGATTTTGGCTGCCCTGGGTGCAGGTGTGTAAGGGGATGAAAGTGCTTCCTGCACCCCATGCTGCACCCTGCGTACTCAGGCAGGAGCAGCTGGGGATGGCTGTTAATGTTTTCTGGTTATTAAATTTTCCTTTAGTTTTCACTATTTATCATACCAAAAAAAAACTAACTAAGACAGAAAGCGGTATCTCCCCTGGGACAAATCCAGTGCTCACTCACACCCCATTGGCCTCACTGCCAATGCACAGGATATAAGCACTGAATTTGGCTAAACTGTGATTGTAGGTACCGATCAGTGACATGGAGAACACACTAATTTGAGAAATTAACAACACAACTTACCATACTATTTGCTCATCATATATGAACTGGAAGAAAAACAAACAAACAAATTGACCATTTCTCCAGTCCCACTAAAAACTGGTCAGCTGCACTGTACAGCAGGCGAAGAATCTTCACAGCGGTGTATTTATTTATTTGCAACCTGAAGCTACTGGAGCTTTCTCCTTCCCACTCTTCCCATCCCAAACCTTCTACTGTACCTGCTGTCAACACTGCAACACCAACCCTACAGCCAAGATTTGGGCCTTTCTTAGACGCTGCTATTAAAGTCACACAGCTAAATGGTGCATGAGAGATACACACACATACACTGCATATGTTTGAGAGTGAGCAACCATGTGTCTGGAAGACAGGTAGGAGGCTCATAAAACAGTGTGGTCTATTTTCCAAGATCAAAGGCATCAAGTCCTTTTAAAATTTGCTCCAGAATTGCTTCTCCAGCCATGCAGCCACACAGCTGGGCCCTCAGAACAGCAGGTGATCCCAATTTAACTTCATTTTATGCCATCCCTTTGGTTGAATGGGCCATTGCTGTTCTATTTTTATTATGAATAAAATAAATTAAGATGAATCTCCCCCTCCCTGCCACCAAATACTTAAATATAGAAATGTCAGAGTTACTACACTCTTTGGAAAAATATAATGGTCATTTCAGCTATGCCTAAACTTTGCCTACTAAACTCTGCCTGTATTGGCAATTTATCTGTGGCCCTACATGTACTAGAAGCTGCAGATAATAGCCACCCTGCCTCTTTAATATGGTATGCAATTTCTCTATCCCAACATACTCCAAGAGAAGCTACTTGGATCAGAATGGAACACTGCAAGCTGGGACCTGTAGTTTCTGCGAGGCAGTGCTTAATTTGTAATGAAAAAGGGGCCTGAGCTCAAGCAATTTTTTTACTTTAATAACTGACGTGGCAAGCCCAGAGGGACACTTACAATGATAAGAAGGATCACAGAAAGCGTGTAGTACACTGAGTCCCTAAACACAGACCACCAGGTGAGACGAACCACCTGAAAAGAAGCACAGTTTTAGCCGACAAACAACAGTGATTTCAAAAGAGCTTGATCTTAAAATATTTAGCTGCATGAGTAACTTTACTCATATGAGTAGTCCCTCTAAAGCCAATGGGGATATAATAGGGATACATTAAAATTACATGCCTACATGTTTGCAAGATTAGGCCTAAAATGTATCTATAATTACCACCATTAATAAAAACCTTATAAATGTCTCCCTTAATGAAATGTATTTCTTACTAATGGTATTTTCATTGGCCGTGGTTTTAGGTGAACAAGAAGCAAAGCACAACTTGCTGCAGTTCTGCAAATGAACAATTCCCTTTTAATTTTATTTGGGAGGTATATCAGATTTAATATAAAAATTGTGATATTCATGAATGCCTCCTACGGAGAAGGGTGAGCAAATGCTTTAGGGTATAAATAACTCACCACAGGAGTCAGGAAGGATTTTCCCCCTCCCCATTTATACTGATCAATTGACTGAGGATGTAATGGCAAATGGGAAGGAATCACCTTCCTCTGAATATCAGGTACTGGCCACTTTGGAAAGCTGAGACAACCGCTATTTTGCAGTATTACCTATTTGTAAGATGTGTCTGAATTATTTCTAACATGATCACTTCCCTTGTCTTAATAGCACTTTCATGCTCGTTTCCCATTAGCATTCCAATATTTCTCAAACATTTTCCGTGCAAAAGAAAAAACTAAGCAACAGAAAGTCAAAAAAAAGGTAACCTACTAACCTGTCCTGCAAATATCCCACAGACGCCAATAATGCAAAGGATGTTGAAAACTGCTGACCCAACAATGGTCCCAACTCCTACATCACCATGAGTGATAAATACACCTGAAGAGAGAGCAATACATTCACAATTAACCCCTATCACTTCATTACTGGCAATGCCTATTTGTTCAAAACGTGTATCAACTGTGAACAACAAAAATCCGTGATCATTTAAATGTTTAACCAAAATTAGATTAATAATGAGTGCACATATCAGCTGCGCCTTCTGAAGTTTTGGGGATAGTTAGCAGCTATTTTGTATGCATATTTTATCAAAAGGAGATGTAAAATACCTCCAGTGACATCAGAACTCTACAATGTAACTGACTTCAAATGTTACAATAAAGCACAGGAACTTTCCCCTGGACAGTTAACATTTAGATTTCTGTCCCTTTAACATCTGCAGGGACGGCACTACCTTCAAAGAACTCCTAGCAGCCACCTTGTGTATAGTCTGGGGTGCTACTCTTGATAAGACATATGGTCTAGTGGGTGGAGACTTGCCTGAGACTCAGGAGACACAGGTTCAATTTCTTGCTCCACCACAGACTTCCTGTGTGACATGGGCAAGTCACTTAATCTATCTGGGCCTCAGTTACTCACCTATAAAATGGGGAAAATAGTATTTGCCTGCCTCACAAGGGTGTTATAAGGCACTCAGATACCAGGGTAACGGGGGCCATATAACTATCTAACATGACAGAGTGCAAAGAAGAAAGCTCCCATGACCATTCTGAAGCTTTGTTTTCAGCTAAAATAATCTTGTTTGAACAAACAGACTTTGATATTATAGATCCTGTGATGCTATCACACCCCCTCTATGTAGGAGAGTATATCTGTAGATTAGATGCCGTGGAGTAGATAGATGATATGGCCTTATGTGGGCTTTGCTATATTTATGTATATTCTCCTTACTGTGGGACAAATTCTGCTCTCACTGATGTCAATAAGGTTGCACAACTGTAACTGAAGGAAAATTTGTTCCAGCGGATGGCATTAAAATCTCAACTTTCACCACCCAGGTATGTTTAGTACCAGCAGTATCTTCTCAAATCTTGAAGTGTGGTAGTACAGTATCACTGCTGCAGGTTTTGAGTATTGAATGGTGTCAGCTGCAGAATGGAACCCAGCAGAACATCAGAATCTAAAGCCTGTTAACTCAGTTATCTCCTGCTCTAAATATAAGGAAGAATGGTGGCACTTTCATATACCACTGCATGGGAAACCACTCAATAATACAGAGGGGCAGATCTTCAGCTGGTGTCAATTGTCATAGCTCCACTGAAATCTAAGCCAAGGATCTGTTCCTGACTTTTAATTTGTTTGCAGTGTTGTTGTAGCCATATTGGTCCCGGGATATGAGAGAGACAAGATAAGTGAGATAATATCTTTTATACAAGTTACAAGCTTTCAAGCTACACATAGCTGAAAAAGAGCAGAAGTTGACCCAATAAAAGATATAATCTCACCTACCTTGACATTTTAATGGCAACTGTTGCACATGCTATTGAGCAGAACCCTTACCTATTACAGATGCAAATAACTCTGGGGTCGAGCTTCCTGCAGCCATGAAAGTGGCTCCAGCAACATCTTCACTCAAGTGTAATTTCTGAAAGAAAAGTACCTATTACTTCAGCATTGCTGGTCTTTTTACATAGCACACTTTTATAGTTATAGATAGAATCCTTTTATTTTCTCGGTCACAATACCGTGAAAGAATGAACTCCCACTATGATACAGCTCAAAGGTTGAAAAAGCCTATATATGAGATATAGACAACATGCTTTGGGCATATAAAATATTTATCCCCTAACCTAGTGGGACACCAGTTAGATAATATTATCCACTTACATTATAATATTTGAACTAACCAAGCTGATTAGAGAAAGACCACTCAGATGGGGATTCTAGAAGGTGGAATGAACAGTTTTTAGAATGAAGTCATGAGTAATTCAAGAGTTACAGGGGATACCTAGCTTGTAAAATTTGATAACAGAAGTAAGTGAGAGTAAAATATAACCTATGTGAATATGTCTTGCAAATAGTAGGCCTGTTTCTGATCTCGCTTATTCTAATGTGAACTCCAATGAGGTACATGAAATTAGAGCAGTGTAGAACTAGAGAGAGGACTGTGTCCCACAGACAGATCTATTTTTAATATACTGCTTCTTGAGCTCTAATCTGTATGCAGTTACCTTAGAGCTTTTGAGCCAGAACCTCAGTTGGTATAAATGCACCTAGCTCCACAATTGGGCTAGGCCTATTCACACCAGCTGAGGATCTTTCCTTTGCACTATAAAGGCAATATTATGGGAAAGTTTTTCCTTTTTGAATCTCTAGACTCATCTTTAATATCCCATCCCACTTCCAAGGATAGAAGAGTGCCTAGTGATAAACGAAGCAGGTAAGAGTATTTTTCAGGCACTCTGCAACATTCTGAGCTAGCAGGAAGGGCTTCATAAGGAACTCATGGCATAGAAGCACAACACACAGCTCTCTAAGGGTATGTCTATACTACCCGCTGGATCGGCGGGCAGCGATCAATCCAGCGGGGGTCGATTTATTGCATCTAGTCTAGACGCGATAAATCGACCCCCGAGCGCTCTCCCATCGACTCCTGTACTCCACCGCCACGAGAGGTGCAGGCAGAGTCAATGGGGGAGCGGCAGCAGTCAACTCACCACAGTGAAGACACCGCGGTGAGTAGGTCTAAGTATGTCGACTTCAGCTACGCTATTCACGTAGCTGAAGTTGCATAACTTAGATCGATATCCTCTCCCCACCCCCAGTGTAGACCAGGGCTAAGATGATCTATCACCGATAACATGGCTGATAGAGTTCAGCACGGATGTGCTAACTACTCTGGATTTTTGTTAGCTGTCTAGCAGTCTGGAGATACTTAACAAGCAGAATAGATTTTATGAAGGATCGACAGCAGAAGCAGCAACATTATGGTACATCTTATATATCATGTATCTAAAAGTATGCTATGCTGATAGCACATCTGAAAACAGTAAGTAAAGATCACTGCTGAATACTTTGCAAGTATTTGCTGCTACAGTCTATCCTTACATCTGTTCTCCTGTTGATAAGGCTATGTAACTCCTACTGATGTTTGTGGGCGTTCTGTACATGTGTCCAGAGGAGAGGAAAAAAGATGCCTTATTAGCTAGAACAGCTGGTCAAAACATTTCTGTTAATATGAAATTATGTCAATCCCCACTCTCCAAATAAGGTTTTCTATTTTACAATCAATTCTATAGTTGGTTGGAAAATTTTCAACAAAATAAATTTTGGATCAAAAGTTTAATTTTCCCCCTATCTTGATCAACTCTAACTAGTATCTGATAAATAAGTTTGTAAAGTGCTGTACATTAATGTTTTAATATAATAGCAGATTATTATTCTCAATTGTGTATATATTATATATTGCACTACATTTTCTAGTTACATTTCACAGATCTGGTTCAAGTGGGCCCTGTACATAAAATAACTGACTTCATTAGTTATAATAACTATATTCTCCCTTTCCAATTATTCATCCTGCATTGCCTTTGGGTGGGATTTTCAAAAGTGCTTAGCATTGACTTAACTATGCTCTTACTGAAATGAATAGTAAAACTCTCACTGACTTCAGATGTGGCAGAGTTAAGCCAATGCTGGGTGCTTTTGAAAAGTCTACCTGATAGTTATTTCTATACATTAACTCTCTTCCACCCCTCCACACCCAATCCCAACAGGCCAGAAAAACAGCACAAGCACATCCCTTCCTCTGACAGATTAGTCTTGCTGGCAGAAAGACACCCATGGCCAGCAAATTAATATAAATATTTCTAGCTCTTCTTTTTCCAAGTGGCTTTTAAAACAAGGATCATAGTAACAAACCCATCTAATCCTTACATCACCCCCTATACTGTCCCACCAATGTGCTTCAGACCTGTGACAGGAGGAAATCATTTGGCTGTGCCCATTCAGTCATTAGCCTCTTTGCCAAGACAGCTGTCAAGGGTGCCAATTAGCGCAAACTGTAGTGGGTTTGTGATATGGAGCCCTGTCCACCGGGAAATGGATTGAGGCCACCAAACTCATTTCTAACGAACTCCAGACAGCCATTGGATGGTACAAAACATCCAAACCTAAAACCTACAAGAAACAGATTTACAAAAGGTGGTTAAATTTCTCTGTCACTTACCTTACAAATTTTCTCTAACGAGGGAACAAAGAAGTCATCACATACTATAGCCAAGGCATAGAACATATAAAGAGCCTGTGGGAAAAAATAAAGTAAGAAAATGTTACTCAGTCACATCATGTAAAAAAGGGAGAGGAGAATGACAGGATGTTAATTCAAATAATGTAGAAACAAACTAACATGAATATGTGGCTCCATTTCTATCTGCTACAAAAAAACTGTACTGATGAAGTTATGGCATAAAAATATCAATATGTTTGTCTACTTAACAGTATGCTTAGAAAGGGAGGGTTTGGAAAGTTAGGGAATAATGAAAAAGTAGTTTGTTGTAATTGGGTGCCATGGTAGAGTAAGGGACATGATAATAACAGACAGTGCTTTGGAGGAAGAGCAGTCATCACTCATGTTTTCAATTAATTACCTGGGTAGGTAATGAAGGCAAAAGCAACATCAAGATATTCCATGTGCAAAGAACAATCACATCCTGAAAGAAATGGTCCCTGACCTTGGCTTCCATTTGCAAACATCTCAGGGGCTATGATTGTCTCGTGAGCACATGTTGTCCTCCTGTTGCTCTATGTGAGTTATGTGATGCATATTTTCACAATGGGACCAATCCTGCAGTCCTCACTCAAGCAAATCTCCCATTTACTATTACTTTCCCAGAGCTGGGACTGCAAGACTGAGCCCCAAAGACCTTTAAATGTTTTTGGTTTCTGCAATAAGACATCAAGCCCAGTACCACGTTACCAGATTTCATCTGTATTCCTTTAGGCTTTAAGGGCCTTATCCTTGTTTCTTTTGCACAGATGCACAACGGACAGGAGAGGGAACAAGGAGACCCCATATCATCCATTCCTGCACAGAGGACAACCGGAATCCATACCTGCCCATACAGGGTGAAATCCTAGCTCCATTGAGATCAATGCCAAAACTTCCATTGATTTCAATTGGGCCAAGATTTCACCCCTAACTGAGATGAAGGCATAAACATTGCTAATTTAGGCTTGCATGAACAGTTTTTAAAGTGCTCCAGTCGCCTTCTGCTATTTGAGAATTGGGTTGCAAATGCACTATTAAAAATCTGCTGATTTACAGAGTTCTACTAAAAAAGGGCAATGGGACTGAGTAACTTCTTGCAACTTACTAAATAAATAAAAAAAGGAAACCCAAAAGGAACCAAGGTAGGACAAAACTTACACCAATAATATGAAACAGCACTGCTCCCTCCTGCCGATCCTTATTTGTAAATACATCTTCAGGAAATTCTTTAATTGCTGAAAGAGAAAAACAATTATTTTAAAAAATATGTATAGGTCTACCTGAAAATTTTATAAATGGAAGACAGCAAAATAAAGATGGATATTTAATATTGGTCCTAAATTAAAGGAGAAGGTGACATCTTCATCAAAGACCATATCATTTAGTTTGGTGCATCACAGCCTGCCGAAATCTCTTCAGTTCACTAGGATAAAGCAGGGGGAAGATCGTCTGCTGGTGTCAGTTGTCATTTGCTCCAACTGTTTAAACCAATATTCAATAGCTGCTAGGAGTTTCCTGCTCACAATGCCTCCCTTTTACTATTTTCTCTATACTTCTGAAGTAACCAGCAGAGGGGCAAATTCCCCCCCAAAAAACAATATTCCTAGCTTCATGTATGCCTCACCCCCTAAAAAAACATGTAATCTGCTATCCACATAGATTATGGTGCTATATAAATGTTTGCATGTCACTTTACAGAGATGAAATAAATATACGGTGCATACCCAAAGAGCTTGCAATCTAAAATTAGACAAAGAAAAGGATGCTAGATAAAGGAAGGGGTGGGGAAAAAAGGAAGGTGAGGGTTAAAACATAATAGGAGTCAGATAATAGATGAAGAGAACCATATAAGCTTTGATTTTATAAGCAGTGACTGAGGTAGGTCAAGAGGAGAGGGGTAGCTCAGACAGCAGTGGAAAGTCAGTGATGGAAAGAAAAGAGCAAAGAAATGTGTTTTCAAGCAGGTTCTGAATGAGAGTGAGGCTGCTTGCAGTAGTTAGATGGAGCATTTTCTATGCCTAGGTAGCAGTGTGAGAAACCTAAGAGCAAGAACACCAAAGAGTGGAGAGGAAGGAAGTAGCTAGGCATCCCAGAGGGCAGAGTGCTGTGGGTGAGATGGAGAGCAACCAAAGATGTGAGGCAGGCGGGGCAGAGCTGTGCAGAGACTTAGGCTTTGTCTACACTACACAGCTTTTAGCAACACAGCTGTGCCACTACAGCCGTGCCGCTAAAAGGCGCACAGCGTAGCTGCTGTTTGGCGGCAGGAGAAAGCTCTCCTGCCGACCAAAAAACTTCCACCCCCCACGCACACCAGCACTTTTCGTCAGTAAAATTTTGTCGTTCGGGGTGTGTGTGTGTGTGTTTCTTAACACCCCTGAACGATAGAAAGTTTTGCTGACGAAGTTCCAGTGTAGACAAAGCCTTAGGAATGATGTTGAGGATTTTGAACTTTATGTGGAAAGAGAGGGAGTCCATGAAGAGGATTGGAGATGAAATGGTCAGAGCAGAGCATTATTTTAGCCACTGAAAGCTAGATTGATTGGAGAGGTGACATTTTCATGCAGAACTCCCAATTGATTTCAGCAGGGAGTTACACTTGTGGGTTGATGGTAGGAGAAGGCTCAAAAGTACTTTGAAATATTCATAAATGTACCAAAACCTGATGGACAAAAGCCAGTGTCTACTTTGATCACTTTACCCATAGCCAGAGCTTTTCTTAATGGTACTTGCTGAGGCCTGCTTCTTCGAAGTAACAAATGCTTGATATGATGCCTACTTTACAATGTCCTTGCAAACACAACATTTAATGCCAATGCCAATTTAATGCTGTTCTGGTTTGTGTATATTCTTCAGTTTCCAATATAATTCTGCAAGCAATACGCATATATATGGAGACCAAGATTTTCAAAAGTGACTAGTGATTTTGGGTGCCCAATTTAAGACACCTTAAAGGGGCTTGACTTTAAGAAAGTTTGAGCTCTTGTCCTTTGCAAATCAGGCCTTTTTAAGGTGGCTCAAGATGGGCATTCCAAATCTGAGGCATCCAAAATCAGTCATTTCTGAACATTTTGACCAGGGAAAATAAAGTACCTTCATATCATTATTTGAAAAGACCGAGTTATTTAACATCTGCTCAAGGATGTATATACATGGCAAACTTTTCTTGCCCCCTGAAAGTAATTTATATAATATAATATATATATTATATAATTGCCTCAGTGCAAAGATGAAACCCTCCCTGCTCTGTTTTCATGCCTACAACCACAATTATTTTTGCATGAGACCGTTGGCAGCAGGAGTAGTAAACGTACAAGGCCAGCGTACCTGTAAAAGCAGCCTGAGGAAACAGCACTGCTGTATCCTGGGAATGAAAATTGTACAGTAAATAAAAATAACTCATGTGGCTATAATGAAGTGCTGCTTCACAAAGAGCTGTCAAAACAAAGATAATATACAATTAAATGACCCAGCAGCTAGGAAATCTCAGATCCTCATTTGGATGGATTTGCCTGTTGAACCAGCACAAATTCAAATACCTTTAAAGAATCAAAACAGATGGATAAATAGCCTCTTTTTATATTTTTATTACTATTTCCAGCAAGCAAGGAAGAGGAAAGGGAGAGAATATCATATATATATTGGAACAAAGATTGTCGCATTGTAATATTTTAAGACACTGTATTAAGTAGAACTGGATGAAATTCTCTGAATCATTTTTTCAGTGAAAAACACAGATTTGGCAACACCCAAAACATTTCACAGATTCATGTTGGTTTCTATGAATTGTTTCAGTCCAAAAAATTAAAATAAATTCTGTAAAATCATTTTGTTTTGTCATTTTTCAAAATGGTACACATTCAGTTCAAAATGACTTTTCATTTAAAAAATTTCCCTTTGCTTTTTAAAAAAAACAACAATAAAAATGTTTTAAATGGTCAGAAACAAAACAAAAACATTTAATTTGACCTGAAATGATTTTTTTTCTTGAGTCTGAGTCACTGAAATTTTTGGAAAAAAAAATCCACTTTTGGTTTTATCCAAAACTAATTTTTCCTCACAATTTTTTGGAAATGTCTGCAACCAAAAAATCCATTATTTGCACAACTCTAGTATTAAACTGGAGTGAAAGTGACATTCTTAATCTCCTGCTGGGAGATAGTGTAGGATAATCTATAAACTACTATTAGTCAGTGTTACATAATCTGCAGTGGCTTTCGACAACTTTGTAAGAGGCCAAAACAGCCTTTTATATATGGAAGTGCTAGAGCTGAATAGGTTTCTCATATTACTTAGTACTTGCTTTAGCACTGTTGTAATATTTGGGCATACAAGTTTACCCTAATTGTGAGCTCAACAGTGAGATGTGAATGAAAGATCATAAAATATCACATTAACCTATAATGTAAATGTTGATGGGGAAAGGTGAAAAGGGGAGGCAGAAAGATTGGGTTAATCCAAACAAAAAGGCCTACTGATATAGCTCAACGACTGTGTAAAGATCATGTCTGGTAACAAGAGAAGTGTGGAACCGGAAATCAACAGACTGAAATTGGTATATCAGAAATTAGGCCTATTTGGTGGACAAAATAATGAGCAGATGCGCCATTCCATCCATCACTTCCTTTTGGGATCCTTAAAAGAAAAGATTCTGGTAGGAGAATCATGTTGTCTGACCAACAACTGCCAGATGGAAGACAGGTGGACTGAAAGGAGCAAACTTCACCATCATGGCTGCCAACCCCACTGTCTTCTGGGACTCAGGGATCACTATGACACTATTGGGCCTTTGTTGTGCTGATCCTGAGAAATATCCTGCCCAAACTAGGACAGAGAGAAGAACACGGATGACATTGCCTCCTCCAATGGCTCTGGCTAAATCCCAAACATCACCTGGAACGTGAGACTTCCCCCCCCACCCCATATACACACTTCCCTCCAATCCTCTATATGTCCTCTTCCTTCCCCACTGTATTTCTTCTCTTTTCTATCCCTTCCTACTTTCCTTTTGCCTTCTGTATTAAGAATCTAGTTTAGCTGACTGAGACTGTATTTTGCAATACTGCTATAAGCCTGTGACCAGAGAGACAGCTAAAAACAATGCTTTATACATAAGGTTGCCAACCCTCCAGGATTGGCCTGGAGTCTCCAGGAATTAAAGATTAATCTTTAATAAAAGATTATATCATGTGATAAAATCTCCAGGAATAGATCCAACCAAAATTGGCAACCCTACCTATACAGTCTAATGCTGGTATAAATATGCCAGGTCTCTGAGTGGCTGATAAGACCATGTGCTGTGATTCTGTATTTTCAGCAGTGAGGTTGCATGTAAGAATCAACACCAGAAACAGAAGCTGCAGTTTCTATCTGTGTGTTCTTTGTCTTGTTTTGTCATTTAGGAAACAGGATCAGACTTTATCAACAGCTCCAGTCTAACTCAACTAACTTCCCTCCCCCCCAAAGGACAGTTATTATCATCTTTGACACCATCTAAGAGCCTGTCAGACAAGAGGTTTTCCTTCTAAAGACTCTCTGCGGCCAAAGGGAAAGGGAATAAGGGATACTGTTACAATGGAAAGCCTTACTTCATATTTTACATTTCAAATGTTTTAACTGTTTTTCCTTCTTTGTCTGTATCTTTATTAAAGAGTTAAAAAATTAATTGTGTGTTTCCCATGGAACTAAACAGGCTGAGGTCTCTGTACTTGGAATTCCAAACCTTGTTTAAAAACTACTACTATTATACAGTAACAGGGTCATGTTAACGCCTTTGAGTCTCTGGGACCATGTATTCTATCAAAATTAATACAACAGCACACATCACTCCAGCAATATATCAATATATCTTGCCAATTCAATGTGATTTAACATCATTCCCTCATGTGGCAGCTGTGGGCAGTACTTCTGGGATATTATTACAGCACCAGCAAATATGAGAGTTTCTACTCTGCTACAGTAATTGCCAAAAGCAGAGTTTTCCAGAACTATTCCCTCAGGTATGAACAAAAAAAAAAGGCAGCTCCCAGTGAACATGGGTTTAGATGCATATCTACTCATTAACAAGTAGAATTAAAACCGACCGTGTTCACAAAGAATAAATACTGAAGGAAGGATCCTTCCATCTTCTGGGGATGGGAACTGTAGCTGTCTCTCCACTATTTTCAGCTGAGATGGGAGGGGAAGATTAAATGGAAAGCAAGGTGTACAGTGTGACTAATTCTGACAAAAAGGAACA